ATTGCAATCCTAAATCAGTATATCCCAAAGAATCACCTGGAATTCCCAGGCTCAGTCCTCAGAGATTTCACAACAGATGGAGGGAAAAAATAGCCTTTCCTTGCCTTCCTTCCTCACATAAGCATCCCAGATGATCATTGATTCTTACCAGGGAAGGCTTGGGAAACCCTAGATAACAGCAAAGAAATGTGGAAGCTCACAGTCTAGAAAACAAGAGTTACTTCAACTTGGAATGTAAGTTATCTTGTGTTCATAGTGCTCAGTGGGGACAAAGTAGGCTGCAACATGTGAGTCAACTGTTTTTTTTAAATGTATATACCGTGAGACAGAAGGCCGGGAGGTACAGCAAGATGGTAGAACTAGGTTTGGTGGGGCTCCAGGTTTTCTTTCCTTGGGATCTTTAGTCCACTGAGAATAAACCCAAACCTGTGAGGGTGAGGATGGTACTGATTATCTCCTGCACCGTCTCAGTGATGATGAGCTCTTGCAACTATTCAGCTTAGCTTGACACAAATTCCTGTGGATGTAGTAGACATTATTTGAATTAATCTGAAATCCTAATTCTGTCTTTACCAAGGAATCCTCTGATCTCAGTTTCACACCTGAGAGAAGAATGTCACAAGTAAATGGCTATTAGAACACTTTACTGTTTAAATTAGTGAATCAGCGCTCTGGCTTACCAGTCCCCTTCTGAGGATGGCTGAAGTGAATTAATTCCTCAGAGCATAACAATGCCCCTTACATGCACTGGGGGAAAAAAAAAAAAAAGTCCAATTCCTAAACATGCAAAACAGGCTCCCCCACAAACCCCATGAGGCCTGACCTCAAGTGGTAGCCAGATCTCTTAAGGAAGAGTAAAGTATTAGGAAGCAATATATTTGTTCTATTATGCAGAAACAGGGTTTCAATATAATACCTTGAAAAATATTTTAGTAAAATTACCAGCAAATTTCTTAGAAATCTGGTTCATCAACATTTTAAGTATGGTTTCACATGAAGCAGGTGCGACAGCTTCACACCAAGGGTCTCTGCAAACTGTGGCCTGTGGGCCAAATCTGGCTCACAACTGAGTTGTATAGCCTCAACTAAGAATAGTTTTTACATTTTTCAAGAACGATTTTTACATTTTTAAGAGGTCGTCTAAAAAAAAAAAAAAAAACAGGCAAAGACTACAAAATATTTCTTAGATCCCTTCACAGATAAAGTCTGTCAACCCATGGTCTACAGGAATAAAGAACTCTGCTCGGTCCTACCCCTACCAACCAAAGCGGAATGTAAAAAGAAAATACTTTAACCAGATGAACAAGTCAAAGGCCAACCTTTCAAACAGAGAGAAGGCCCTCCTTGATTTTAACAACTTTGAGTCTAAATCTGCATAAATAAGATTCCAGTTATTTTGGTAACAATTCATATGAAAGAAATTAGAGGATTATACCAAAAGCACATAGGTGAAGTTGAAAAGTCAAGCTGGGTGGCTGCTCTTCTTGAAGCTAGTTGAAAAATGGACTATTCAATACAAACAACCATATAACCTAAAATGTTAAAGCTAGGGGCGCCTGGGTAGCTCAGTTGTCAAGCAACTGCCTTCCGCTCAGGTCATGATCCCAGAGTCCTGGGATCGAGCCCCGCATCGGGCTCCCTGCTCGGCGGGAAGCCTGCTTCTCCCTCTCCCGCTCCCCCTGCTTGTGTTCACTCTCTCGCTGTGTCTCTCTCTGTCAAATAAATAAAATCTTTAAAAAAAAATGCTAAAGCTAAAAGAAATTCTCATTTTATAGATGCAAGAAGGAATTCAGAGAATGTAAGGATGTATGAAAACAAAAAAAAAATGAAAAATAAGTATCAAGAATTACTTAATCTTTATGAATTCTATCTGAGGGAGGTAAAACAATATTACCATCATAAACATATAATTGCTCAAACCAGGACACTAAAAATAAGTAAAGGGCATATAAAATTGTATAACTTTGAAAATATTTATTGATTACATGGTCACTGTATTATACTGGTGGGCCTATAAAATCATTTTACTCAAACTCTATTTTCAGAAATAACTTTCGAAATGCACCCCATGAAACCTGTTTGGATTATCTGGGTGCACACAAGCAGTGCGTTGTTCAAATAAAATATACTTTTTACCATGGATACTAGCCAAAAGTTTTAACATTGCAATGACTTGGAAGTACTCTCAAGCGGATGACTTTCTAATGATTCTACTGCTACAACCATAAGGAAAATCCCTTAGACACAGTATAGCAGGAGGTATCATAGAACACCATACAGTTCTTCCATGAGGGAATGCAAAATAAAACACAAAGTACAGAATCTCTACAAATGTAAGGCCTCCAGTAGGACTCATACTCTAAGACACTGATCCTCACAGATTTCTGGGCCAACCATAAAGTTATTGTATGTTATCAACTTGTCACCAAGTGGCCTGCTGCTCTAGTCAAAGGACAGGACCATATGGAGAGCTCAGACAGCTCAGGCATCCATAGTGGCCGCTCATACATCAGTGTTGGTGAGAGCCCAAGCTCTTGGACCCATGAATGGTATCTGCCCCAGCTACCTCAACTCGTCTCATCTGAGGCCCATTGAGCAGGCACTGGGGTGGTCTAAAGATGTCATATAAATATGAGTACTGCTACTTTTCACATATATGTAGATATTGAGGTACTGAGGTTAATACAGTTCAAATCTAAAGACCATGAAGAATGGCTTCCAAGATGGAGAAGGAGTTGAGTACATACGCCGCCTCTTCAACAACTCACCTCAAGCCACCACGAGAGCAATGGAAGGAATAGAGTAGTAGCTAACACTTTTCATTTATTCCTGAGGTTTCTTTTATTTTAAACCAAATTAATTCATCCTCTCCATTATCGATTGGTTCTTGTGACATCCAAGAAAATAAAAACAAAATTCAAAAGAATATAGACATAGTCTGAAGTAAATTTCTATAAATTTATATTTTCTATTTTATAGGACTTATATTTACTTATACTTTAAAAAGTGTTCCTTAACTCAAAAATGGTGAAGATGGCAAATTTTATGTTATGTGTTTCTTACCATAATAATTAAAAACAATTGTGTAAAAAAGGATATTGTAATATAAAGGGATGGTAAATATAACAAGATACATTTAAATTCTTTTCAAAAGTAGGTATTAATATATTTGGCTGTTTTGTTTCTTCTTTAAGTGTATTTTGTATGTAAAGTATGTGTGTGTGTATATATATACACACACTTTATATATATATATATATATATATATATATATATATAATGAGGGAAGAGTGTATACAGAGAACTCTAAGGAAGCCAGGATTATATACCAAGAACAGGAAAAACTGATTAACCCTGATGGTCACATAATAATCAGGTAAAAAGAGTGTGTGATAACATGTTACAAGATGATGCATTAATCAAATGTCATCTAAAAAAAGTTTCTTAAAAATATAATGCTACGTCCCTGGACTGATGTCACACCAATATGGCAGGGCACCCACTGACACTAAACGATACTCCAAGATGAGCAATCACAAGCAGTCTACACTGGTGATCCTCAGGCTCACTTAATTCCTATTAATACTGAAAAGTGTTTACTTTTATAAAAAGGGGGATTCATTGCAATGTGATCTCCTGAAATGGATCCTGGAATAAAGCATGTTAGTGTGAAAGTGGTGAAATCTGAATAAAGTGCATAGTTTAAGTATAATAATGTACAGTGTTAATCTCTTCTGACATGTACCGTGGTCTATAAATGTTAACAATTAAGGGAAGTTGGGCAAATACTGTCTTTGCAACTTCTCTGTATTAATACTTCATTAAAAGGGGGCGGGAGGGACTTAAATAAGGACGGATCTATGCACACGGGAACACAAAACTCAGCTGTTGTGATGTGTGATAACAGCAACAGAGAGGAGTATGCAAGCGTCATTTCAGAAACAACCCAGAGAGGAGGAAGTAGTGATGGGGAGCGGGCACCAGGGGGGGCTCCCATGTGCTGGTCATGTCCTGTTTCTGCCCCTAGGTCGGTAGCTGCACCAGCATGTTCCTTTTACGATAATTCACTGGACTACACTTTCCCCTACATTACCCTTTAATAAAAAAAGAAGTTAAGAAATACTTTCCTAGTTCCGATAAAGGTTAGAATGAAGAGAAAATCTGTGAATAAGAGATGTCTATGTAGGAGCGAAGACGTCTGTATGGGGGCAGTTGTGACAGTTATGGTATCACAGATCCAAGTGTTCGGAGCCGGGAAGGACCTTGGTAGTCCCCGGGTCCTGGCGTGGCCCATTCTTTCTGAAGCAGCCCTGGAGATGCTGACGCAGCCGGGCGCACTGTGCATCTGAGCCAAGTGCCCCGGGAGGTTGTGACGTGCATCCAGACCACAGACCCCTGAATGCCCCAGCACAGCTAAGCACCCTCCACACCTCGTCTGAGGCCGGCAAACCTCCTGCGGTGTTCTGAGTCCACAACAGAGAAATCTCAGTAAGTTCTAATAACCTTAAAAGGCCCAGCAAAGCTTCTTCTCTCAGAATGGCTTTTTTTACCCTATGAATCACACTGGGTTTTTCCAACACAGTTTAGATTTCGTACTTCCACCACTGCATCTGTATATTTGTTGTTATTATTTACCAAATAATGGCAGATCGTAGATTCTACTAAATAACGGCAGATCATAGATTCAGATGATATGGAGCTGGAAGCAACGAACCCTCTACTCCTTTTAAAGATGAGGAAACTGGTATCAGAGGTGTTCAGAACTTGTCACAAGTTCCTAGAATTCAATTATTTTTTAGGTCCATAAATTAAACTAGATGCCTCCCCCATGGTTAATGTATGACTAGATGAACTAATACGCAGTTCATAAGAGCACTAGTTTATGACTTGGATTCTTTCATGTGTAATTCAGTTCACCACGGTTTCTGTGAATGTCTTTGCTGAAAATAATTCTTGCTGAACAGTATGATGCCAAAAGAAAAGACAACAAAAACACTTCGGAATATTTAAAATAAATCAAGATGCTCCATTTTTAATGTGTGGATCAATCATGTAAATTAAAGAGGAATTTAAGAATATTTTTTAAGAAATAACAATTTTAGGTAGGCAATTGTAAGGAAGATAACAATCATACATGCCAAGGCTACGTGATTCTTCCACAAGCCCCACTGGGAGAGATCGATGCCCTGGTTTAGCAAAAATTCTTCGCCAGTACATCTGAAATTCAACAGAAAAAGAATATGACTTCATTCTTAGCATCTGTCAAATTTTACTCATTTAAATTCACTCCTCCCATAGGTTACCAAGGCTTAAATAACTATGCCTTCATGTACAACAGACAATGAGTGCTTACGAATCCATTAGATACTATGCTAAGCAATCTGCATGTAACAGTTTAGTTAATCCCTAAAACAGCCCAATGGGGGTTAGTACATACATTTAAAAGATGAAGAGGCTAAGGTTGTAAGGAACTTGTCCAAGTCCACAGACTCACACTGTGAACCAAACTGCTAGTCTCTGCAAATTCATTTGTTTCCAGATCTATGCTGCTGCTCTCTTTAAAGGGCAAAAACATTTATCAAGTAATTTTGCCCTCACTCCTGATGGGGAAAACCTCAGTTTTAACAGATGACATCAAAGGCCCTTACCGAGATGATCAAAGCTCTTTCTAGAACTCATCAGCCACAAATCAGCCATACAAACGAACACAGGCTAAGAATTTTGAAACTGGGAAAAGAGGTGAGCAAGGCCTTCCTGGCACCATCGCGTTCCATCAGCTGTTGCACCAAGACCGGTCTGAGCACTGCAGATGCTCTGCAACATGCCATCACCAGCAGGCCCACTTAATCAGGTGGAAGCCTCAGCGGCAGCCGAAGCACAACAAGGGTACAGGAGCCCTGCCACCGTTTAGAAAAGCACCTGGCACTAAAAACACCTGATACAGCCTTAATTATTACCCATTATCCCATCTTTGTGCAACTCTTGAAATCTAGCAGTGCCCCCCAAAAAAGTGTTAAGCCCAGACAAAAAAGAGAGGGAGTGGGCAGGATAAAGAAAACTCTTTATAGAGGTTTTCTAGAAATACTACAAAACAGCACTCTGTCCTGTTACTAAGAATTATTTCATGAAGGTTCATGAGATTTGGATACCAGCATTCTCTTTTCTTTCACTAGTTAATGTATCAGAATCAAACCGTTAACAACAATCATCAATAAGTAAAGTGTTACTCAATTTTTGAAACAATATCCTGATTTTATGAAAATCTGCATTTCTGTTTTATTGACATTACGCAATAAATGGGACTTGTTTCTCAGCTGACTGAAACGTGTTTCTTTCTTTAGAGGGTACATGCTTTAATAAGGATATTCCAAGTCATTTTAAAAGAAAAAAAAGATAGCCGTGTAGACTTCGATTTCATAATGTATCCCATTTAAGTGCCGGAGGAAGAGGTACGTGCCACAAATGTGCCCGGGAAATATTCCCTCCGTTCCGCTCTAGCTGCCTTTCAGTCTCTTGCTCCTGGCCGTGGCGTGGGCTTACAGGAAGCCTTAAGTTCATGGATCCATACACTTCCCATAACCCATACAATTCCAATATCCTAAGGCTTCGCTAAAATATCAAAGCGGCTCATTTCAAACTCAAATGTTCTGAAAATAAAAGCTAAAGCCCACAATCAAAACAGTGTTTTAAAAGGCCCCAAATGAACAACATATCAGAAACATTTCCCCAACTTAAATATAACTTTGACCAGAGTAGAATGTCAAGGAGATGTGCACTGGTGTACAACAGCTCAGAGAAGTCGGTGAAAGGACCCACACCAGCCACGCGGCCCAGTGGCCTCGCTACCTGACACCACAAGAGTAAGCAAATCCATTCTGACACTGAGTACAAACTCACATCGCATAGCTACAGGTATTATTCGCTGTTACATTGACTCCTGGGCAGAAGTTTTGTCCCAAAAACTCATTATGCTGCAAAGCCTGTAACACAAGGGGGGATGAGACAAGGTAAATGATTTTATTTATTTTTTTTAAGATTTTATTTATTTATTTGACAGAGAGAGAGCGAGAGCAGGAACACAAGCAGGGGGAGTGGGAGAGGGAGAAGCAGGCTTCCCGCGGAGCAGGGAGCCCGACGCGGGGCTCGATCCCAGGACCCCGGGATCATGACCTGAGCCGAAGGCAGGTGCTTAACAGACTGAGCCACCCAGGCGCCCGGTAAATGATTTTAAATTTCAAAAAGTCTCCAAAGAATGATCATGTCCTCCTAGTTTAATCTTTACTGCTATTCCTAAAAACAAACCAAGCTTCACATTTACGGTCTCGGTCACACCAGAGCAACTAAAATTCTGCTCCCTGGCAATTGAGCGGCCTATGTTGGGATTCGGGCTTCTAAAACAAAGGAAGTAAAGTATTTGGCAAAGAGGGGAGACCTCTGGCTATCTTACCTGTAACTTCTCCCTTCTTCTCTCCCTAATTTTATAATCCCACAAACAGTGTAATTAAAATCATACAGCGGTACTCAATGACTATTGTCAATTTACAGGTAAGAATCTTTTATATTGTTCTTGTTTCTTTTCATCAAAACCAGTGCTAATTCTTGGGAGTTATAAACCCAATCATACTATATTAAGACACAGTTTTCTTTGGAGTTGATGAACTTTCTAAAGCCAACACAGTAGCTGTATTATATGTTCTTTTTCTTCTAATTTTAATATATAAAATATGTACTCTAGGCTCCCATCCTCTATTTTCGTATGGAACTGAAATGCAACTACGTGTTTTTATATCCATTAGGCAATCTTTCTCCTTCATGAGGAGTTCTCTCTCCACTCCTCACCTCCCTCAGGCAGCAGGGTGACTGGGGAAACCTCAGGTGATGATCAAGGTGAAACTCTTCTTCATCACTCTGAAAATGAAACCCCTGGGAGACTTTCACAGTTCGTGGCTGGGGCCATGAGGTTGTTAGGCTTTATTCTGGTTGGTTCTAGCTTGGGAACAATGAAGCAGTCACAAGGACATGTGAGGAAAACTTACCGCATAGCCATATCGAGGAATGCTTAAGTACTGAAGCCAGGAGAGCCAAGGCCCAACAGTTCTGAGATTTACCAACAGCCCTGAAAATATCTACAAAAAGCAAATGCCAAGAATCAGACCTGGTGAAGGGATTTCATGGAGAATTACAGAGAATAATTTCTGAGTCCCCGACAACCTTTACAAACGTTTCTTCTAAGACTTCTCCACTCTGCATACGTATGCCTCTCTAGAGCTGAGGCTGTTTATGGTTCTAAAGGAATGACAATATATCTAATAATACCTACGTCATTTAATTGGAAGACCCTTCATTGTCAAGGATTTTACTTTTGGTAACTGCCCACAACGAAAGGTCAATAAAGTACTGACTGTTCTCATGACACAACCATTATATGTTCACACCACTAAACACACCAGAACAGATCCTGAACATCTCACGCCCCTCTCTATTGCCCTAACACAGTAAGATTTGTTATTTACAAGGGCTTGCGCTCTGCATGACTCCAGAAATAATCTGGGGTTCAGGATGCATGCTAAAATAACCCAAATCCTGGAACTGATATACAGTATCAGTTATCAGTATCAGATACTGATAACACGGGGAAGTACTACATAAAATATGGTGAATGCCTTCATTTAAAGCTACCAAAGAGCAGTCTTACAGTGAAGATCCCGGGGCAGATTACTCCAGCAACAGATGGCTACGTGAGAAGAGGCTCATCTAAAACTTCTAACTGGAAGGAGGTATGCTGGGATAGACATAACAATGACAATGTTGCTGGAGTGACTGCATACTTTTGAACTTGACTTAACCAGGTGCTAAACAGAGGACACACAGCATCTCTGAGTAAAATATGGTTTTATGACCAGTTATAAAGGATCTATATACAAACTTTTAAATAATAATAAGGTGAAACATCTAATATATCACACAAATATATCTATTTTTATAAATCGATGACACATTATTTATTGGATAACATGATAGAAAATATATGCAAAGTTTATCACTCTTAATAATGTTTAGATTGATAGATGTCAGACTCAGAAATGGAAGACTGGGGGCGCCGGGGTGGCTCAGTCGTTAAGTGTCTGCCTTCGGCTCGGGTCATGATCCCAGGGTCCTGGGATCGAGCCCCACATCGGGCTCCCTGCTCTGCGGGAAGCCTGCTTCTCCCTCTCCCACTCCCTCTGCTTGTGTTCCCTCTCTTGCTGTATCTCTCTCTGTCAAATAATAAAAATCTTAAAAAAAAAAAAAAAGAAAGAAATGGAAGACTTAAACTTTGGCAAAAAGTTGTGCTAATTATGCTCCTTTTAAAGACATCTTAGCAGAAAGAACACGTGTATTAAGTAAACAGGCTAAACGTTCCTGTTCACTTGATGTAGTTAAGGAGCAAGGTGGTAACTAGCTGATTCACCTACTGATTCATCTATGTACAGGTAAAATTAAGGGACATGTAAGGTTAGGCTTCAGTAACCATTAAAAAAAAAAAGGTAAGCAGAAATACATTGGTATAGGAGAATGTCAGGAACCCAGAAAGGAGGAGACGGAGTACTGTGTGAGTTTTGGAACTTTTTAAAACACCCCTTTTCAAAATATAGGAGGGACCCAGGATAGACTACCCACACTGCAAACTGTTCTATTTCTCATGGAGCTTAGCCTATTCCCTTGGGGAGGAGTAGATCCAACCAAACCATTAAGTTACTGCTTAAATAAGTCAATGGTTCTCTAACACTAGCACAGAAGTTGGGTAATTAACCTGTCATATTTATGAGGGAATCTTATAATCAAAACTTTTCTGGGTTTTGTGGGGTTTTTTTTAGAAGTTTTTGTTTAAATTCCAACTAGTTAACATACACTCTAATATTAGTTTCAGGTGTACAATTTAGTGATTCAACACTTCCATACAACACCCAGTGCTCATCACAAGTGCCCTCCTTCATCCCCATCACCTATTTAACCCAACCCCCTAACCACCTCTCCTCTGGCAACTATCAGTTTGCTCTCTATAGTTAAGTCTGTTTCTTGGTTTGCCTCTCTCTTTTTGCCCCTATGATCATTTGTTTTGTTTCTTAAGTTACACATATGAGTGAAAATCATATGGTATTTTTCTTTCTCTGACTTATTTCGCTTAGCCTAAAACTGTCTAGCTCCATCCACATCACTGCAAATAGCAAGATTTCATTCTTTCTGATGGCTGAGTAATATTCCATTCTGTATATATACCACATCTTCTTTTTTTTTAAAGATTTTATTTATTTATTTGAGAGAGAGAGAATGAGAGAGCACATGAGAGGGGGGAGGGTCAGAGGGAGAAGCAGGCTCCCCGCCGAGCAGGGAGCCCGATGTGGGACTCGATCCCGGGACTCCAGGATCATGACCTGAGCCGAAGGCAGTCGCTTAACCAACTGAGCCACCCAGGCGCCCTACCACATCTTTTTTATCCATTCATCGGTCAATTGACATTTGAGCGCTTTCCATAATTTGGCTATTGTTGATAATGCTGCTATAAACATAGGGGTGCATATATCCCTTCGAATCAGTATTTTCTCCCCTCTGGGTAAATACCTAGTAGTGCAATTACTGGATGGTTATTGTTCTTGGTGCAACTGTAAATGGGATCGATTCCTTGATTTCTCTTTCTGCTGCTTCATTATTGGTGTATAGAAATGCAACAGATTTCTATACATTGACTTTGCATCCTGTGACTTTAATGAATTCATGTGTCAGTTCTAGCAGTTTTTGGGTGGAGTGTTTTGAGTTTGCTATAGAGTATCATGTCATCTGCAAATAGTAAAAGTTTTACTTCTTCTTTACCAATTGGATGCCTTTTATTTCTTTTTGTTGTCTTGATTGCTGAGGCTAGGACTTCCAGTACTATGTTAAATAACAGTGGTGAGTGTGGTGAGTGTGGACATCCTTGTCTTGTTCCTGACCACAGAGAAAAAGCTCTGTTTTTCCCCACTGAGGATGATATTGGCTGTGGGTTTATTGTATATGGCCTTTATGATATTGAGGTATGTTCCCTCTATCTCTACTCTGTTGAGGTTTTTTATCAAGAAGCGATGCTGTACTTTGTCAAATGCTTTTTCTGCATCAACTGAGAGGATCGTATAGATCTTATCCTGGCCTTTATTAATGTGGTGAATCATGTTGACTGATGTGCAAATACTGAACCAAACTTGCAGCTCAGGAATAAATCCCATGTGATCGTGATGAATGATTCTTTTAATGTACTGTTGGATTCGGTATGCGAATATTGTACTGAGCATTTTTGCAACCATGTTCATCAGGGATATTGGCCTATAGTTCTCTTTTTCAGTGCAGTCTTTGTCTGGTTTTGGAATCAGGGTGATGCTGGCCTTGTAGAATAAGTTTGGAAGTTTTCCTTCCATTTCTATTTTTTGGAATAGTTTGAGAAGAGTAAGTACTAACTCTTCTTTAAATGTTTGGTAGCATTCCCCTGTGAAGTGATCTGGCCCTCGACTTTTATTTGTTGGGAGATTTTTGATTACTGATTCAATTTCTTTACTGGTTATCGGTCTGTTCAAGTTTTCTATTTCTTCCTGTTTCAGTTTTGGTAGTTTTTATGTTTCTAGGAATTTGTCCATTCTTCCAGACTGTCCAATTTGTTGGCATATAATTTTTCATAATATTCTCTTATAATTGTTTGTATTTCTGTGGTGTTGCCTATTATTTCTCCTCTCTCATTTGTGATTTTATTTATTTGGATCCTTTCTCTTTTCTTTTTGATAAGTCTGGCTATGGGTTTATCAATTTTACTAAATTTTTCAAAGAACCAGCTCCTGATTTCATTGATTTATTCTATTGGGATTTTTTTTTTAAGTTTCTATATCATTTATTTCTGCTCTAATCTTTAATATTTCCTTCCTTCTGCTTGCTTTAGGCTTTATTTGTTGTTCTTTTTCTAGCTCCTTTAGGTACAAGGTTAGGTTGTTTATTTGAGATTTTTCTTCCTTCTTGAGGTAGGCCTGTATTGCTATATACTTCCCTCTTGGGACTGTTTTTGCTGCACCCCATAGGTTTTGGACCATTGTGTTTTCATTTTCATTTATTTCATGTATTTTTTGAATTTATTGATTTCCTGTTGACCCATTCATTGTTTAGTAGAATGCTGTTTAACCTCCATGTATTTGTGGTCTTTCCAAATCTTTTCTTGTGGTTGACTTCAAGTTTCACAGTGTTGTGGTCAGAAAATATGTATGGTATGATCTCAACCTTTTTGTACTTATTGAGGACTGATTTGTAACCTAGTATGTGACCTATTCTGGAGAAGTCCCATGTTCACTTGAAAAGACTGTATTCTGTTGCTTTAGGATGAAATGTTCTGAATATATCTGTTGAGTCCATCTGGTCGAGTGTGTCATTCAAAGCCATTGTTTCCTTGTTGATTTTCTGATTAGATGGATCTGTCCACTGCTTCAAGTAGGGTGTTAAAGTCCCCTACTATTATTGAATTATTATCAATGAGTTCCTTTATGTCTGTTATTGTTTTATATATTTGGATGCTCCCATATTGGGGGCATAAATATTTACAATTGTTAGATCTTCTTGTTGTACTGTCCCCTTTATTATGATATAGTGCCCTTCTTCGTCTCTTGTTACAGTCTTTGGTTTAAAGTCTAGTTTGGCTTTTGAAGTTCCAGTTTATCAAGGTTTCACTATATGTCACCAAGAAGCATCTTTTAAAAACTCATTTGTAACAAAACGTTACCTGAAAAGTTATAGCAATTGTATTAGAACAGTAGCCAAAAATGCTGGGTAATGTCAAGAAAAATCTGTACATGCTCTAAGCTGTACCTCAATACATGGTCTCCTTAAAGAAGAGAATCCCATTTACAGAATCCTGAGAGCAGGTTTCAGGAAACAGGTACGTTTGTGGGAAGGAATAAGGGGAAACAATTACTTCTCAGAGAAGCACAATTCCTACTCACCATCATGAACACAAAGGAGATGGTCATGAGAAGTGTTGCTATGGATACCACACTCTGGCCTGCTGCTATGGCCAGTGCCATAGAACTGGCTGAATAAGCCACCATCATAAGGGTGAACATCATGATGAAGAAGGCCTCCACAACTGGTTTCAAGCCTTAGTTGGGAAGAAAAGAGGGGTTGAATCCAACTGCTGCGGTAACTGTGTATTTGGGACCGCTTACTGTGCAAAGCACATAATATTTTGAGACACTAGTACCAGAATGAGGAAAACTCATCCTCTGTCCAGCCACCTTGGGTCACCAATTTCATTACCAGTACCCCCATGTTGCTGTATAAAGTTATCATAAAGTGTCTTTTTTATACTTGAGGCATAAGCACATTTCTGTATAACACAATTTCTGAGTGCCCGAGATGGAGAGCTCCAGGCCACGCAACTGGCCCCCCATCCCATCGCCTTTTCTTCTAAGAAGGAAACTTGTCAGTAGCATATTTGTTTTACCCAAATATCACCACATGACTGTTTGCTATAACCGCATTGAGTAAATAAGCTGGGAAGAAGATTACGTGACCTCTCAGTGGTTTCAGTATCCCCGGGGGAACATCTCCACAGTCCAAGTCCCCCAAGACAAAGCACCATATAATTTTGGGATTGAGGGTGGGGTTAAATAAGTTTCATAAAACTACAAACTATAATGGACTCATATTATGGGTCACACAATCTGAAGATTTTGGAACAGCCATAAGACCACCAGTCAAGAGTCTGAGGATCTAGGTTCTACACCTAATTCTTTATGACACACCTCTTATATATAACATGGAAGTTTAAACTCAATCAGTTGATGTTCCTCTATAGTGCTTTACTTATATATTTTTTTAATTAAAATATA